AAAAAAAAAAAAAAAAAAAAAAAAAAAAAAAAAAAAACACACACACACACACACACACACACACAGACAAGTATTCGAAATTCAAAAGATTCATATCAAAGGAATATGTAATCGGAGAGGGCTTTGGATCTAAACCAAGATTATGAACTGAGCTGTTTAAGAATCAAGGAATTGGAGAGTTTATCAAGTCCTAATTAACCACTTTTGACTTTCATTAGTGATCAAAACTATTTTATTTTTTATTTTTTACTCGCAAGAAGAATAGATAATCTTGTCGCATATCCCAGTTACAGTTTTAGATAGTACATGGTGTGCTTTTGGGTCAAAGGGGGAGGGGGAAGAGAGTGCTATCCATCAAATCAAGCTGTAAGACTGAAAGTTAGAGATGAATTGGAGTTGGCTTTCATTCTGTAGTAATTCGGTTACATAATTACCAATCGCTAACATCTCACCAATTGTAAGGATTATTTAGAGAGTATCACCACCGGTTCTAAATAAATAAGATGGTGGTCTTCAAAGGGGAATGTGAAGACCCTATCTATAGTACGACGATCATTTTTTTTTTTTTTTTTTTTTTTTTTTTTTTTTTTTTTTACAAAGTTGATCACCTTTAAACCAATCCAATTTTTGTGTGACATTGCAAATTCCAAATTTTCAAGTACTCATAGACTTACTGAAGTGAATATAAAATCTCTCAATCCAATTGGGAATTTGAAAGGTTTAGAATATCCTATTATAAATGAAATTGGAGAGGTAAAGTGCAACACGGAACTTTTAATTTTTTTTTTTTTTTTTTTCAAGATTGGGAAAGGAAACAAATCTTTTCTCCTTGCTGTCCAAAAGGGCTTTTCTCCAACATCATTCAAAATCAGCCCAATTCACCTCTGTTCTGGTGGTGATGTTCTTAAGAAGCTGTTCAAAGTGGATTAGTTACCAAATTCACCAAGTTCCTTGCGTCCGTTGAAGGCTTCGAGGGTGGTAACACTGAGGAAAATACTCTTGCGGCTTCTCTATATTTATCTTTTCCACGATACCATATAATAGGCCATTTGAGAATCCGTTCGGAACTCTTTCTCATCTGATTCATCCTTACGCACAGAAACACCAAGTCATATTCCAAATTTAACTGGTATCATGAAGCACTTTAGCGTGTCGCTGGCCATCTTGCTAATCTTGCTCCTCCGTGCTCATGATGAATCATGCCACCCTTCTAAATCTAACAATCTTGTTCTTACTAGCGGTAGTCCCGAGTTGTCAAATCCAGTGAACCAAACAAACACGGATGCGGGGTTGAATGTAACATCAGACTATAAGAAAAGTTATAATAAGACAAAGGCGCTTCCCCTCCTTAACAAAGTAGGACACACGGTTGAGTTAATGATGTCTATTGGATTCCCTTCTATTGCATTCATGTGTAAGAAAAGAAGTCGGTCTTACTCACAAACGATCCCTTATCAATCAACCCAACCGTACTTGTAGCGCTGTCAAACAACTCAAGACACCTGGTACGGTAGTCTCCCAGTGTGAAAGTGTTCAGGTAATCTTCTTCATTCTTGCTAAATTATTATACATAATGTCGGGAAACAGTTTTTATACGCACAAAATACCTTCCGTCTAATTTCACATTGTTTTACATGTTAGTCGTAGGCTTCCTATCCCCCTGATAAGTATTTTATCATATCTCTGATCGATTATGTTTGACTTTTTTTTTTTTTTTCCAAGCTACCAAATCTGACTGATTTCCTCAACCTGGTCGAATCTTTATTTTTGGGGACCTGAGAAGACAGCCTCATCGCTAGAATGGTTACCAGATTCACAATTGTGACATCAAGTTCGAAAAAGGGGCCACCCATTACCGGTATGACATAAGCTTCCTGAATCTGTCTGTGCCATAAAACAGCAGACACCGAGTCCAAGAGGATTCAACATGTTGAATGCAGAAAGCGTACGCAGGATTTAAAAAGACCTAAACAATTTTAAAGCTTATTTGAAAGGGATGTAAAAACTTCGACGCAACTTCGGCAAAGAAAAATGAATTGCGATGAAAAAGAAAGGCTCTGTGTAAAAAACCTGGAATCAATAAGAACCACAGATAATCAACAGACTAGAAAAAGTCTCAAGTAACCTAGCATCTGTGGATGTTACTAACAACACACAAGAGCACCATAAGATGATGCGAAGATGTCAAAGCAAAGGAATTTTCTTTTTTAATGAAATAAATAAATTTCCCAATCTCAAAAGAAATTGGCACAGTAACAGAGGACTTTGAAAAAAGAAGAAAAGTGAAGAGATTGTATTGAATCTATCTCTCATGAGAAAAAAAAAAAATATAAGAAGATGGAGAGAGTAAATAGAAAAAGTTTTAAAAGCAGCACAAGTCAAAAAAAAAAAAAAAAAACTCATAATTGCCATCTTTCACAACGGAGCACATTTCATATCCATTCTTATTAATTAAGTGTCTGACCTTAACCGCATGTCAAGATTTTCTGAAGCTTTTACAATTAATTCTGATCAAAGATTAGTCCACCTGAACCATTCCCGCAATCATAGGCGGAGCGCTTTGAGTGTCACAAAACCTCACAGTCATTGATTCATTTAGTGTGTCCTTGTATAGAGATATCATATAGCTTTAATTTATCACCTAAAAACCCTTCATCAGTTACGAGATCAATTCAATCTTCATAAAAAGTCACATCCAAAAGAGATTTTTCTGACCAATCCAGATCTATGTAGATGATTGGTTGTCTGATAAAAAGTATAGACAGATGTACGAAAGTTTCTGCGCTATATGAACCTCCCCTTTTTTCCTTTTTTACAAAAAAAAAAAAAAAAAAAAAAAAAAAAAAAAAAAAAAAAAAAACATGAAGAAAACATGAAGAAAACAAGTTTCATTTGTTCGCCCCCCTCCCCCCCTTTTGTTATTTATTTGTTACTTCACGTCTTCTAAAAACTTCTATGTATGATACTCAAGAACAATTCTTTCACCTTAGAAACACTTATACACAAACAAACAAAAAAATGGAAAATCAAGACAGAGTACCATGAGAGATATGATATATGCATGATATATATATATACATCTGTAGAGATATATATATATATTCATTTCTCAACTAACCTCGAACTTGATTTAACAATAGTACAACACTTTGACCATTGATCACCAACATTCTCAGTTTCTCTCATTGTTGATTCATTTTGATCCAAAAGTAGTTCAGTCTTAAGTCAATATGAATTGAATCCATTCGGAGTAAGAAAAAAAGTACTTATTGTAAATTGATACTAGCTTCAATAAGTTTTTACTCATTATAATCTTCTCTCAGGTTTTAATAATAAAGGAGAACCTATGTTATCATGTAAACTGCAAATCCTTTTTGTTCGATACTGATGAATGTACCAGAATAAATAGAGTAGAGTCTCTTGAAATTCATTCTCTTTGTCTGCTTTGGTTTGTATTTAATTTCTGATAGCCATTCATTTATACTTACAGATTCACTTGTCAACACTTTCCCATATTCAATAACTATAGGTATATCAACAAGACAAGAGATAGGCGCAGGATGAAAGACTACCTCAGTTTATGTGGTTGGTATAGGTGAATCAAATCGATCCCCCCCCCCCCCTTCTCCTAATGATTTTCGATTGATAGGTGAATGTTGAGATTTGTAAAAGTACTTGCAATCTCACGAGCCCAACCTTCCTTTTTGAACAACTTTGATCTTTTCCTATTAACACTATTAGAACCTAATAGAGCTACTAAACCCTCACCCGAAAGTTTTGATTTGATGATAGGATGAGGTGTATCACGATTTTTCTTCAAATCGTTGTAAATCAACTAAATCAGATCATGTCAATGTAACACTTGATCATGTTCGTCGTTGTGGTGATAATAAATTATAACTAGCAGGTGAAGGAGCACTAGCTAAACATTTAATAGTTTATTGACAAGTAATAATTGTTAAAAATGGTATAATTTTATTATGATGTTCTCCTGGAGTAAAACCTATTTGAAGCTCAAATGAAGTAGGTCATGGTTCATTTGTAGATAAACAAACTGATTATTGTTTTTTCCTTGTAAAAAAATTAATTCGACTACATACTGTATGTTCGTCTATCGCAAATTGTGAAGATTGTGAGCGCATGATTGATGGAATGAGCGTGCTTTCTTCATCTCGAATTACACCCATGATCTGGTGAAATCTGATGAAGTCTTGACTCGGAAGGAAGTATTCATCTCTCTTAGGGTAGATTGACAATGAGTCAAGAGCTGACGGATAATAATAGGTTTAATTCCGAAAAAACCCAACTTAACCCCGAATAGCTCAGTTGGAAGAGCATGAGACTGTAATCGGATACCTTGTGCATCTCAGGGTCATCGGTTCGATCCCGATTTCGGGGAGCTCTTCTTTTTGTACCACACCTTTTGAATAAACAAGTTTATTACTTTGTGGTCTTACTTTTCTTTTCTTTTTCTTTTCTTTTTCTTTTTCTTTTTCTTTTTCTTTTTCTTTTTCTTTTTCTTTTTCTTTTTCTTTTTCTTTTTCTTTTTCTTTTTCTTTTTCTTTTTC